ACATGCAGAGACAGTTAGAACATGCAGAGACAGTTAGAACATGCAGAGACAGTTAGAACATGCAGAGACAGTTAGAACATGCAGAAACAGTTAGAACATGCAGAGACAGTTAGAACATGCAGAGACCAAAGACTTTTGAAGTTTCTAGTGCAAAAGACTACAGAAGAGACACGGCAAAGACAGACAGAAACTTCCGCTCAGGCTGACCACAAAGACTACAGAAGAGACATGGCAAAGACAGACAGAAACTTCCGCTCAGGCTGACCACAAAGACTGCAGAAGAGACACGCCAAAGACAGACAGAAACTTCCGCTCAGGCTGACCACAGTTTTAATATAAGTTTTTCGTTTGCTTTAGTAAGCATTTTACAGCACTTGCAACACAATTAGGTTATATAAGCGCTGAAGATTAGGTGTCACAGGAGTAACAAACACAAAAAAAGAGGACAGATAAGGACGACAGATGTTTGATAGTAATGATAGGAAAGAAAGAGAAAACTAGACCACAGCACCAACTGACAGACAGGATCAGAAGAGGGAAACAATGACTACATCAAAAAAAAGACACACAGATGGAAAAGAGCACTCAGCCCCATACAAAAGACACGGACCAGCTTACCAAAGTCTCCAGCGAGGCCAAGTCACCGACGGTGGCCCCGACCAGCAGGGCCGTCAGGTTCTTCACCACAGACACGGCCACATTTCTGAAAAGTGTCATGTTCAAAACATACTGTCGTCGTCATCATTCAACATTGGACTGTGCCAAATTTTTTTTTTTAAACTGAAAACCAAGTAGAGTCAGGCACAGACAACTCAAACAAGTCAAGAGATTGACAAATGTGTTTGACACATCTAAAATTTGGGTCGATATGTAAACAAAAAATTAAATAGACATCAGTCGGGGAATGGAACATTGTAGAAACTATCCGTGACTTCGGGCTTTCCGTGTTCCTGTCATCTGTGCCTGACAGTTAGTCCTAGTCTAATTCCTATTCTTCAAACTGTAATGGATTTTAACTTCTTAAACAGTTAGTATTTGAAAAGATAAGGTCCTATCTGAAATAAAAGTGTGTTGCTTCCCCTGAAAACCTTGCCTTTTGCCATATGTGACAATGATGAAATGATGAATGAAGGCCACAATATGTCAACATTCTCTCCGCAAGTCTTACCACAGATGAACTGAAGCATGCCTCAGATGAAGTGAAGCATGCCTCAGATGAACAGATTACTTGCTGTGATTCCAGCTTGTACGTAAACATAGTGAGTTCAACTCGCATGAAGGGAAGAGATATGTACAAATGTCCCACACATTAACATGGGCTTGTTCTTGGTGGAATAGTAAAGAAAACCCACACTATCACACACGCTGCTGTGTTCAACACACCCAGAAATTACCGTTACTTCTCATTTTTCTCTTGGGGTTGGATATTGAGCATCCCGTGTTCAACCCCTACAATTATAAGTCTACAACCACACAAGTTACCATCACCTCTGATTCTTCTCCTTGGACTGGAGGTAGAGCGTCCCGTGTTCAACCCCTACAATTATAAGTCTACAACCACACAAGTTACCATCACCTCTGATTCTTCTCCTTGGGCTGGAGGTAGAGCGTCCTGTACGCCTCAACGACTGCCTCACGCACCGTCTGTTCCTGCGACCAGACCAGGACCAGCATCCTCCGCACTCCGACCTGGGCGGCCGACACGCCAAACTGGACGGCGGTCACAAAGAACTGGACCGCCTCAAGGACGTCTGAGCTATTCTTGGAGCCCAGCAGCTGGCAGATGACGGGGATACACTGCTGGACTTGGCTGGCAAATGTCAGGGAGTTCTGTACAGGGGAGGGGGGGAGAGGAAAACTAGTGAGTTTGTGTTTGTAAAAGATCTCCTTTAGAAGGTTGAAAAAAAGACTGAAATCTACATAACTTGACCAGAGTGATGAACATTTTCTCTTCCAAATAACTCAAACGAAAGGCAATAAAAGAAGTTGACAGTCAAGGTCATCCCTGCCCCAAATTGTCAGCACTATGTAAAGGGCTGTGCGACAAAACTAGGGAAACTCCAAAACAGAAAAAAGGGAAAAGTCAACTGAACCAAGGAGCGAAAGCGTCAAACCCGACCTTGAGGTACTGCACCAGCGTCTGCTGCTTGGCAATCTCCGCGGCCACGCTGTCGTCAGCTGTCGGGACATCGGGCACGGCCTGCAGGTGTATTGGTTGCTTCATGTCTGGGGCAAGACAGACAGACAGACTAGTGAGGAGAAGGTAGGGCAAGCAGGTATAGTGAAACCTGGTTACAACATACACATACTAGCATAATAGTCATATTTGCATTTCTATAATATGATACATATCCATCCTCTACAGTATAAAGCTTTAGGTCCTCTACAACTATTGTTCTCCCAGCAGACCCAGGAACACTCGATAAACACTCTTGACTTCCAAGGAAGTTATCGGCTGTGACGTTCACTCTCTGGTCCGGAGTCTCAGTTAGTGTTTTTTACTCTTTGGTTAATGTGTCCCAAGACCAAGACGCTGTAAATCTTGAGTCCAAAGACATGATAATATACCGAGGTTTTACAGTAATTTCTTCTGTTGTGACAATATCTTGTTACAAAGAGGAAAACCAACAGAGGTGGGCTCAGTAATACAGACTGTATTGCACACAGAGCTTGTTGGAGAGCTGGAATTTGCGTTCCACAAATTTGGAATGATTTATTTATTCTAATAACATAGGACATGGAGCAAAAGGGTATAAAGCTCCCCCAGAATCATTCCTCACAACAAACAGGGGAATACAAAGGAATGTTGTCTTATTTCATGTTTTTAAAAGTAACAAACTTTGGTAGATTTGGAAAGCAAAATCTGGCAAAAGAACAAAAACTACCTGGAATTAAGACAAGCAACCGAGCCCAGCAAGTACAAACACATACTCCATCAAGCAGCACTTACGATGAAACACATTCTTGATTGCCGTCAACAAAACTTCCTGTTCACTGGCGCGGCTTTCCTTGCCCTCCTCCTCACCCTCCATCTCATCACTAGAGTCGCTCCTGCACACACAACAGATACAAAAAAATTTTTATTTAGCACTTCATAAAAATTTTGCTAGTTAATCATTATTGAAAAGAGAAGTCTTTAGAATTTAGCTCATAGATTGGACAAGTATGATTAGCTCAATAATTGGACACAGGTAGGAAATAAAAATGTTCAAAGTGACTAAACACTTTTTAAGTAATCCAAGTTACATTACAACATAAAGAATAAAAAACTCAAAGTCAGAATAGAAGACAGATTTTTTCGCTACATCAACTAGGTACAAAAACTGCCTGTACTGTAGCTGTTTCAGAAACTAGCTATGCTCAATAAGAGACAATGTTCTTGGTGTTACAGTAAAGAAACTTTTTCATGAACCTAATATGACAGAAAACTCAGTTGTGGGCAAAACATGAGGCTTATTGCTCTGGTCACAATAGTTGTGGCCAAAACATGAGGCTTATTGCTCTGGTCACAATAGTTGTGGCCAAAACATGAGGCTTATTGCTCTGGTCACAATAAAAGTAAATCAGTTTGTGACACTGCGTGAAAGAGCAAGTAACCAATGGCTAAGTCTCTCGTTCTGCTCACTTTGCCTCTGCCGAGAACACAGGAAGGTCAGGAAAGTTGTCCTTGGCAGCAGACACCAGCGCCACGGCCTTGTGCCACTCCTTGCCTTCCAGCAGGGAGACGACTCTCTGGAGAACTCTGAGGACACAGAAACAGGACCATGCTTCAACACACGGTGTACGGTACATTCCTGGCTTCTCAACATATACTATAGTACCATCATTCTCATGAATCAAATAATAAGTATAATAGTAACAAGGACAATAGTGATTCCCACAGTACACCTATACAAGCCACTTCCACAAGGAAAGTGTCCCATCCATTTTACACTAGTGCAAAAACATTAGTTCCAAGTGTCATCCTTTCGCTCCATCCCTCCCTCTTTCACTTTGTTTTATTCCTCTCTCTCTCACTCCAGTAATGAAAAGAACCGAGCACACACACACACACACAACTGTGCAGAAATGTACATGTTCGGTGCCTGTTCTGACATCTAGAGTTCTCGCTCCTCCTCCTTTCCTTTGTAGGTTCCTCTCTTGCAACACCTCTAATTGATACAGAAATACTTTCTACAAATGCTTCTGTGTACATACATATGTATATGTGTGTGTGTGTGCGCGTGTGTGTGTGCGCGCGCGCGTGTGCGTGTGTGTTACTGTTATGTCAAAGGTAATGTGAAATTACAAAACAGACTACCAGTCTATTAATTTATCATTTCCCCCTTGTACCTTGAACTCTGAACTCTGTCACACAAAAAACACTCATTTATTAGTGTTCTCCGCTTCTAATGCCACAGAAACCACTCACTCAGCCCTGTCCTCCCCTCCTATCACACAAACCACTCACTCATCAGCCCTGTCCTCCCCTCCTATCACACAAACCACTCACTCATCAGCCCTGTCCTCCCCTCCTATCACACAAACCACTCACTCATCAGCCCTGTCCTCCCCTCCCCTCCTATCACACAAACTACTCACTCATCAGCCCTGTCCTCCCCTCCCCTCCTATCACACAAACCACTCACTCATCAGCACTGTCCTCCCCCCCAATCAGAGCGGCAGACTCCTCCTCCTCCTCCTCCTCAGACTTCACAGAGACATCCAGACCCTCCATCGCCCGCACCAGCTCGTCCTCAAGCTCCGCCCACTCTCCCCCGACCTCCGGTTCCTGCACAGTCTCCGCTACCTCGGCTGTAGGGTTCATCTCCTTCAGCTGAGCCTTCTCTTTCTCATAGTTGCTGCGCAAATCTTCCACGGGCAGCTGCCTCAGAAATGACGACAAAAAAACTTGGTGTCATGAGACTAAGGGCAAAACGAGAGACAGGAAAATTGGAAATAAAGTCCTCAGACTGCTACAACCCTCAGTATCTGTCAACCAATTCAGCACAAATATTTTACCCATGAGCCCTCATCGTCTTTATTCTTAATAGGAAAAGCTGTAAAAATAAGTTTAACTTTAGTATGAGTTTTATGGCACTTGCAATGCAAATAAGCAATATGAGTGCCGCAGATTAGAGGGGTTACAATAGAGTAGCAAACACAGAAAAGGAGGAGACATGGGGACGACAGTGGTTTGATCGGACAGGAGGAGCACCGCCAACCACCCACTAGAAAAATATAACCTTAAGCTTCCAAACTTGTTCAAAACCCAACAGGGGGTTGGGTTGATTTAAATCAGTTGATTTTTTAAATTTAAATCAACTTGATTTTTAAAATAAAAATCAGTGATTTAAATCAATTTCTTTTAAATTATTTTTATTCAGTTTTTAACATATTTCAACATTCAGAATTCCTTTCCTTGGTTTCATAAAACAGATATAAGGTTTAGTAGACTAGATCTAATATAATCATGCTTAAAAGTCTGCTTTCACTGTATAATAAAACTGTATTCAATTTACTTTTTTCCCCCCATAATTGAAATCAGAGCTGGGGTGATTTAAATCAGTTGATTTTTTTATATTTTAATCAACTTGATTT